GATACATGCAGGAGGATGATACATGCAGGAGGATGATACATGCAGGAGGATGATACATGCAGGAGGAGGATACATGCAGGAGGAGGATACATGCAGGAGGATGATACATGCAGGAGGAGGATACATGCAGGAGGAGGATACATGCAGGAGGATGCTACATGCAGGAGGATGATACATGCAGGAGGATGATACATGCAGGAGGAGGATACATGCAGGAGGATGAGGGCTAGATCAGGGTTAGGATCATCATCCGGATCACAGCAAGTCCCAACACCACATGAGCACTCTACCATTGGATCGGTCCCTAGGGCGTTCTATCCATAGGGCCCAGGCAGCTCATACTAATCTGATGAGAGATGAGATCCCTCCATTGGAGACTCCCCGCGGCGGCGGCGGCCATGTCTGGCTACTCACCCGTTCAGGTTGCAGAGGATGGAGCTGAGGCCCATCAGTAGGTTGACCAGGGACAGGAAGTTGGCGGCGTTCTTCCGAGCGAACTCCTGCATCTGGTAGTGGGACGGCGGCCCCTCATGGATCACCTTCCTGGCATGATGGACCAGCCCTGGAGGGAGAAGGAGGAGGGACAAGGTCAGCCCCCTTTGTGCGTTCTGATACTGCAAATAAAGTTACAATGGCGGCTCTGCAATAAATGATCCAAGTCCCGGCAGAGGACAATAACTCTGAACATCCGCATGGACGACTCCTATCATCCAGTCACCGCAACATTTCTGAGAGGACTGTTATAGGCTAGCTGGGTGACAACTGTTCAAGAGAGGTCCCCCCCACCCCCCACAACTTCCTGTTGTGTCTCCAAGACAGGAAATGAAGGGAAATCACCCCAAGGGGAAACTTCCCTGCTACGAACCCGGATGAGGACCCCCGCGCACTCACCCGATGGCGGCAGCTGCATCAGCATCCTGGAGCGTCCTGCGGGCGGCGCTGTCCTCTGGGGGGTTAATGATCACCGAGTGATGAGTGATGAGGAGAGATGTCTCCGCCTGCAATACCATCAGACAATGAACAATAAATAAGAGATAAAAGCTTTGTTTGTGCT